GCCTGCTTCAACCTCAGTTATTTCCCCACTACGTGGAAAGAGGCTACTGTGATTGGAATTCCCAAGCCAGGCAAGCCTCTCAACCTCCCCCTCCAGCCATCGCCCCATTAGCCTCCTCAAGGCAATGGGCAAGCTCTTCGAAAGAGTCATCCAAACGCGTATGAGGCGCTATCTGTTTCCCACAGACGGCGACCCCCTTATCATTCCCCATCAATTCGGTTTCCGAGCCTAACACTCATGTCCCCAACAAGTTCACCGCATTGTGGAATATATCCTCAGCGGTTTCTATTCTCGTCGTCATAAGACCATCGCGGTCTTTTTCGATATAGCTAAAGCTTTCGATAGAGTCTGGCACACAGGCCTCATCTACAAGCTCTACAAAATAGGTCTCCCCGATCGTCTAGTTCGTCTCGTGGCCTCCTATTTAAAACATCGTACCTTTCGTTTTAGACACGAAGGCACGCTTTCTTCACAGCGAACTATCAAGGCTGGTGTCCCTCAGGGCTCAGTACTTGCTCCTCTGCTGTACATCCTGTTCACCAACGACATTCCCATCCCGTCGAAAGGTGTTCAACTCTCCCTCTTCGCAGACGACACTGCCATCTACTGCAAAGGTGTCTCACTACCCTTCATACGGAACAAGATCCAAAAGTCAGTTGATGACCTAGGAGCTTGGTTCAAAAAATGGCGCATCGATGTGAACCCGGAGAAGAGCTCCGCAGTTCACTTCGATTATAAACGACGCCGTCTCAAAAACACTCCACCAATACGTATGCTAGGGACCCCTGTCCCCTGGCATACGTCCGCCAAATATTTAGGTGTCACTCTAGACACAGGGCTCACTTTCAAGCCCCACGTCAAAAGAGTAACCCGTCACGCACGATTTTATCTGAGTAGGCTCAACAGTATGTTGGGCCGACACAGTAAAATGTCCCTTCGAAACAAGCGTACCCTTTACAAGGTCTGTATACGACCAGTCATGTCCTACGCGGGCCCCGTCTTTGCCCACGCAAACCCTAATATTTTAAATGAACTCCAAATAGTTCAGAACCTCTTCTGTCGTCGAGCTGCGAACGCACCTTGGTACGTCCGTAATGCCGACCTTCATCGGGACTTAGAGCTCCCAACAATTCAACAATTTTTTAAAAAACTCTCTGAGAACTTCTTCAAAGCCTCAGAGTCGCACCCAAACCATTTAAATCGTGAGGCAGCTTCTTATGCAGCCCCAACCCCCTCTCGCTATCGTGTCAGCAGGCCGAGAAACTCTCTCTCGGACCCGCCTAATAAACTGTCAAACGACCTGAACTGTCTCCTGGCGGCTCAGGCCAACTCTAATTAAATTAAATTATTGTAAAAACTAACATTAATTTGCCTTCGTAGGCACTCCCTCAGCGGCACTTAGCCGCCTGCGCCCTCTTTACCCAAAAGAGGGTCGCTCATGATAAGGCACAATACAGCTTGATCAGCCGGCTGCCTGTCCCCAAAGGCGGTTTTTAGAGGGTATCGCTTAGGGTCCCCGGTAGGACAGTGAGCCCCTCATAACCACGATAGACCGGCTATCGTGGTATGCGTAATGCATTTTCCGCCTCCCTACGTATAGGGTAGCCCTTTAATTGCTTCGGGCGCAAAAAAAAACAAAAAAAAACAAAAACACAGTTTCTAAAGTTTTCATGTCTGTCGTGTCCGTTTGTTCCGGCTTATCTCCGAAACAGGGACCAACTTTGACTGGACTTTCACTGGCAGGTAGCTGATGTTATAAGGAGTGACTTAGGCTACTATTCGAGCGGTAAAAGAATGGGACTGAAAATGGCGTCACTTCTATTTAACTCTCGCTCGCACACTGTCGCTGTCTATACTCACACCCACCGGTAGATACAACAAAAATATATGTTGCGGTATGCGTTTTTCGTACGTGCCAAAACTTCAGTCCGACTTGTCATTGTCATAAATGATAACCAAATACCATAAACCAAAAAAAATTTGTGAGCTAGACGCGTTCTGAGAGTTTTTTTTTACATAAATATTGTTGATTTTGTTAATACTTTTGTAAAGCCGCTGTTATTGTTTTTGATTATTATTTATTGTAAAGTGTTGTCTGTTATTTCGTTTTAGTTGACTATTACGTTTTTTTTTTGGTATTTTTCTTTTATTATTTTATCTACATTCTGTTTACAATGGAGTTTAAACGCGGGAAAGTACTACATAATGCTACACGTAGATTGTATATAAAGTTATAAAGTATTTTGAGCTGGAGAAAAATCTGGAACGTTAGCACCCATTGCAATATAGTAATGCAAGGGCGGGTATTGCAGAAGGATTGCCACTCGAATTAAAAAAGATGGTGGGTACCAAATTTATCTAGTATCTATCCGTTTGTTAATAATTAATGATTCGAACAGACTACGTATCATTAAATAATATATAAAAATATTGTATTCGCTATTCAGTTTCCGTATTTTCTAAGCGTTGTCCGTTCTTAGGGTTACGTACCCAAAGTATGCCCCTTATCGCACCGTTACATCCTATTAGAGTGCACTACTGAATAAGCCTCCCCCATTGATTGCCTCATATGGAGGATTTATATTATATTTGCCATAGTTGCCACACTTCGCAAGCGGGTTGGTAACCGCAGTTTTGTTATTTTTAGTCGTTATAAGGAAGATGCTGCTGCCCATCTCCAGATTTATTTCCCTCTGTCTCCTCTTATGAAACCTACGTGGTGATATGGAGTAGTAGATATTCTTACACCGACACTACTCGATGTAGTGCCCAACGGAACCTTATTACTGAGTCTATCTGTCTCTTTGTCGCTGGGCTGTTACTTTTTAGGGTTCCGTAGTCAACTAGGAACCCTTATAGTTTCGCCATGTCTGTCTGTCCGTCTGTCCGTCCTCGCTTAATCTCTGTGACCGTTAGCACTAGAAAGCTGAAATTTAGTACCAATATGTGTATCAATCACGCCGACAAAGTGGTAAAATAAAAATTGTAAAAAAATGTGTTATTAGGGTAGCCCTCCTATATACTCGTATATCCTATAGTGATTTTTTTTTAAATTTCAACCCTAACGTGTGATATATTGTTGGAAAGGTATTTAAAAATGAATAGGGGTTTAATAAAATAATTTTTTGATAATGTCAATAATTTCTGAAATAATCGCTCCAAAAGTATAAAACAATGTGTCCCCCCCCCTCTAACTTTTGAACCATAAGTTTAGAAAATATGAAAAAATCTGAAAAGTAGAACTTTATAAGGACTTTCTAGGAAAATCATTTTGAACTTGGATGGAAACAACAGTACCCACTACCGGGAGTAGTTGCAGGAGCGCGGAGCGCTGCTGGAGCGCGAACATAATGGATACCCACCTTTAAACTCATAAGTGGGAATACTTATTGTGACGGACGGGAAACTACGGAACCCTACACTGAGCGTGGCCCGACACACTCTTGGCCGGTTTTATTTATTATTAGTTACTATAATGGTCATTTTAATCGCGAAAAATGAAATGAATAAAAAGTTAAAGCCCTAAAGTGTTTATATAAGAAATCTCGAAAAAAGTTAATTTTCCAACGATTTTTGTTCTTCTTCTTATATCTTAAAAATGGTAATACCATCATTATTAAAACTACTTTTACGGAATTTATCGCGTTTATTTTTACTTTTTTTATTTTACTTTTTTTATTAAATATAGGAAATCATTATGGTAATACCATCATTGAATCTATGTATTGTTTTCTAACACTATAACAACCCTAACACTATAACATACCGTATACTTAAATAACAAATTATGAAAACAAGATAAACAGCGATAGACTTGGTGGCACAGAACCCAAGGAGACGGATTAATGTGCATTGGGTTCAGAAAATGGATTTTTAATGGGTGCTGATTCTTAAGGCCAAAACCAAAAAATGCGATTACCATGATGAAATAAATAGGCAAATTTTCAGTAAATTTATTGAGCAAAAATTAACAGACGAGGGAGGTAACGAATGAAAATGACATTAAAGAGTTTATAATTAACATTGGGCTGAACAGCGATTGTGAAAGCGATAGCCGCTCCCATTCAGATCAAAAAGATAATGATGGGATGTTCGGAATCAAAGTGATCTCAGACAACTCTGGTGAAGGTTCATGTAGCAGAATTTTATTTTCAAAAATATACGTAATATATCTTTGAAAATTATTATACGTAAAAATAAATGTCTATAGAGTTTCTTGCCTATCTGTCATGTTTGAAATATTTAATTAACTGTTATTTAAATGAATATAAACCTAATTCAAGAAATAGATTGTTTTATTTTATAGTCTTCGTGAATAATTTACAAGCAAAGCCAGTACAGGTCACTGGTTATAAAATTTATTTTAAAATTAATGTGTCAACTTGTGTATATAATTATATTTAAAAATTTTCCCTATAATAGATAATTTCCAATCAACCTAATAATATAACTAACGTTTTAATCCACATAATAACGGTATACCGTTATTAGCGGGTAGGTATTCATTATTTGTACTGTGCATGCTGACAGTACGGGCTCGATCAGACACCATATATAATCCCATTCTTTATCCGTACGGGCTATACTTTGATTTTAGAAAAAGAATAAGGGTTCCGCTCAAAAATACTAAAACCCTAAATAACACGCTGGCGAAGTCGCGAGATACAGCTAGTTAACAATAAGAATAAATTATTTATACTTTTTAAAAACAACTTTACAATATGTTTAATTAAAAACTAATGCCAAATATAAAATCATAAATGACGATGGAAACAAGGGCAAGCAAAAGTGCTAAACTTCATTTACTGCGACTGTCCATCCGACTGTCAAGCGTGCCAGTTTTAGCAATTGTCGAAATTAGAAGAAGTAGACTATTTAAGAATTCGTGTGTTTCGAATATTGACATTAAAAATCCGACCAACATTGAGTGCATTAAAAAAAACACATCAAAAGACAAATATTTTACGATAAAGGTAGAAGATAGTTTGTTTTTCACTCACCGAAACTTTGCTGTACTCGTGTTGGTGCGCCAGGTGCAAGGGCGCACAGCTGGAAGCAGCGCTAGAGACGCTGAGTGCGTCTCCTTCGCTAGTTCCTTCAGTCTCGTCCCACCGTCGTCGCCCCGACCCGCTGCAAACATCCCCGACCACCCCCCTTTCCCGCTCAAGCGAAGCACAGTCAAGCGACACATCCGTATCGACCCTCGGAACACCACTGTCATCCTCGCAACCGGACGAGGAATTCTCAGAGCTTTCTACACTGATACCACTCTCGCATTTCGACTCCTTCAAATTACCCTCGCTATCCTCCGAAATCATCTCGATTTCAAACTTGGAATCTCGACTTCCAAATCTGAATGAGTCACTGTGGACCCACGGTCGCTTCGTCGTGCTTATGTCAGATTTAACAGTTTCAGCGTCAGAGGTTTCTTCGTCCGAATGCGAATTGCCATCTGAGTCTTCCTCGGAGGACTCTTCGATGCATGTTTTAAAAGATTCGTCCGATTTTATAGTGACATTAGAATTGCACGATTGCAATGACCAATGACCAGAGTGTTCCGAGGAGCTCGATTGACGCAGCTTCAAATGCATAGTATCAGAAGCACACGATGGGTTAGCGTCGGCTGATGTTGAACGACTACCTAATGAAATAACCTCGGCAATATCTTTTACAGAATAACGATCATAAGATGACGACATAGATGAGTGAGGAGACATTGTAACGTAAGTAGGACTCTCCAATGTTTTACTGTCGTTGTTTAAATTAATGTTATTCTTCGCGGCGATATGTTCAATGTTAACTACGGCGTAGGGTTCTTCTAAATTGGACGGAACTGATTTAATTTTGGACAATCGTGTTTTTTGTACTGTCGAAGAAGGAGAAGCTTCAAGCGTGATATCTGGAGTAGAAATACTTCTTTTTATAGCGGAAAACTTTATAACGATACCAGCTTTATTTTGCCGTCGATCGTCGTGCAATATGCAAGTTTTACTGTCGCAAAAGCAACGAAATGACGAAGACCCCAATTCTATTTTGTTTTTAAAAGCATCCAAGTCTATTATTACTTTTTCTTCTTCGACCTGATTGATTTCTAATAAATCTTCAGCACTAGCGTGGTGTTTTGGGGGTTTAGGCTTACAGAAACATATTGCTGTTTCATAATAACTGTCTCTCTTATCATTAGGAACCTTAGTAAATGGTTCAACGTCTTTATAAAGAGTATCTCTATTAAAAATATAAATAAATTCTTTAACTGTTGGGGCCTTATATATACAATGCCCTGTTCCTCTGATGTGGTAATGCGCAAGCGTTTCTTTTAGGAACGAGTTATTCCATTTAGGAAAATCTCTGATGTTTGTTGAATTTCTATCAATTTCAATGTTAGTAAAAGTTTTATGTCTAAAGAGTACTTTTTTGTCCGCAATTCGTTCATTTTTCTTATTGGGTAGTGTACCAGTCATTGACAAGTAAATACTTTTTTCGTCAACATCCTCACTACAGTCAACATTTTCTAAGGCACTGGCTTCTGTTTGATCAGATACATCCGATGCATCTGACAGAGTCCTATGGACGGTTGATTTATTTGTACTGTACTTGACCGGTATTTTACTATGACGAAATGATTTTGACTTTGTTGACAAAAATATGTCTTCTAAATTAGATTCGTCTACCATGGAATCAGTAGACAACGTTGAAGATCTACTTATATTTAAAGATGAATTATTTGATCTATTTTCTGCAAGTATTATGTTTCTATTTGGCACCTCAGGCAGTTTTCTTTCTATTGTTAAGGATATGTTTTCATACACAGGTTTTTGCAGTGAATCATCATGAGCAATTTTTGTAGGAATATGAGTTCTAACGGCGGGAGTTGGACGGGAAGATTTATTTTCTAAGATAACATTTTCATAGACACTAACACTATTATCAGTTGCATTTATAACGGTATTCGATCGAGGGATTGGTTTAGGTATTTCTACAATCTCTTCTAAAGACTTGTGTGGTTCAATATATATGTCAGAATTGTTTGAAACAAAATGATAAGACTCGTAACATTCATTAATCAAAGTAGCTGATTCTAAAGAAGCTGTAGAAATTAATGATTTTCGATTAGCTTTTTCTCTAGGTTCAAATATACTAAGCTTTGCATCATAATTAACAGCTTCGGTTAGTTGTGACATGTTACAATAGCTTTTGTCGCAAGCCGTAAGTGTGTCTTCAGTAGACTCAACTATAGATTCGTGAGAATCACTAAGTTCATTGTTTTCAGATATGTTAGGCAATGATGTTTTAAAGCCAGGACAACTACGGTTGCTTCTGTTTACCGAAGAATCTCTATTTAATGTCCCTAGCCTATCTAATGAAATTGTATCGAATTCGTCATTACAAACTATTTCTCCAGACTCCTCTTTCTTCGACAGTATTTTAAAAAATTTACTATTACCAATAAGCATAGTGTTGACTGCATTTTTACTGTCCGAATGTTTTAATTTAACATCACTTTCCGACTCTAATCCCAAACTGTTAGAAATATTAGGAGCGGAATTGAACTTCGCTTTTAGGCCCAAGCATTTCGAAGCGAGCTTTTTTACAAAACTTTGAGGAGCATTTTTTGTTAGAGAAGATGAAGATGGAAATAAGCTTTCACTTTTGTTAGTATTTTTCTGGGTCTCTGGAGCTTTCCTGTAAAACACATAAATCAACAAAATAAAATAAATAAAAAAATATTATGTTAACTATAATATATTGAGGAGTTAGTAAAAAATATAACATACCGCCACCAAAACTAAATACGCGTAAAATATTATGAAGGCACAACTTTCCACGCAAGAGAAATTGATTTAAATTATTTATCTTTTTTTTAAATACACCTTGTTGTCTAATTCGACTAAGGAAGTAAAACTATCTTTGTTTTACTTTTAAGGTTACGATTTGTAACCTTGTATTTAATTTAATAGAAAAAATATTTTTATCCATAACTTTTCACTATTCCTGTTTTTATAATGGCCTGCAATAATTAATTTATCGGTATTGTATTAGGTACTTTCAATATAATCTCGTCAATATTCTGATATTATTAAGATTTGTAATGGTTTTTTTTCACGGAAATTTGAGTTATATGTATTCATAAATTAGTGCAATGCTGTGCATCACATTATTATTTATTATTGTATATCATCACCCACCTGACGGTTATTGGATAGTTTAGTCGTATTAGATATCATTTCTTAATATAAACAATTTTTCTTCCTTTAATAAATTGTTTTATTTAATTTTTGAACAATTTCAAAGGAAATTTCGTCTTTTGAATTCGACTTCGAATGGTTCGTCCCAAGTTCTTTTTCCTTTATCAAAGGACGTCTACGCGGGCAACTTTTACTCTCTTCACGGCGTCATGGCGTACAAACGCGTACCTGACCGTTGCTAGACAAAATCAAAGACACGGAAGATTTTAATGAGGGCTTCTGCATTGACAGTTTTTGTTTTGGATCTTTTCTGTGGGGGAAGTCTGCATACAATTTACAGCTAAAAGGCAAACATTGTCCATTTCAATTTTTTCTAATATCACAGTACTTGCAGAATTTTTCCGCGCACACGTAATCAACGTGGTAAAATTTCAACTTTACTAACGAAACATCAGGGACCTCCTTTTTAAAAATTCTCTTAATTTAGCAATGATCTTCATACGTTTGTGTGGCAGCAAAATCGAAATAAATAAACGGTAAATTAAACAGAAATGGAAAAAACGCGGTTCAAACAACACGAAAAGAGCACCCGCAAGATAGCAATCAAGAGTTCAAAGGTTAACATGTCGTGTGTTATAATTGAGATGTCGCTCTCCAATTAAAACCGAATGTTTAGAGCCTCTTCTAAAGCGGATTTTTGAATAATTACAGTGAGGTTTCTTTAGCGGGGATCCCTTGGTGCGGACGTTTAGCGGAGTCAAATGCGGTATGAAAAGTGTTTAAAAAACATTTGAAAAGATGTTTTAACGTAATTCTTATATTAAATGAGATCTTTATGTTTACGCGCTTAGAACTCATTTGCAAAGTCAAGATGTGGAATAAAAATATATTATTACTGTCCAAAAGGAATTTCATGAACAATTATTATGGTATATTCTATGATTTTGTTACGAAGACTCCACAAACGCATGCTTTGTTACAGAGATATAAAGCGTTAAACAAGCAACAAACGACAAACCCAACGTGTCACACCAAATACACATTAGTATTACTGACCGGAATCACAAATGAAAATGATACATAGTTAATGTATAAAATCATAAATTGTGTTTTAAGGAAATATTAAAAAAGCTATATTTACGTGGTAGAGTACCGGGGAAGGCCCACGGTCGCATAATATACCAGCGTGAAATAGCAACCCAAGACAGTTGTATTAATGACAACGAGGATTTCCATCTTAGATTCACAACACATCTACGTTTTGATTCGCAATCAAGGATAGATGTACATGTCTATGGGCCACAGCATCCACTTACCATCATGTAAACTGTGTCCCGTTTGTCACCTATACTTCTCATAAGTATATAAAAACTCTAAGTATATAAAAACTAAAAATGATTCATGTATGAGATCTTGTAACATAAGGGAACAACTGTTTTCTGTAGTGTTCTATATTAGACCTGTGTCGATCGATTATTTCTTGCAACTCGTTTCGATCATGTCCAGTCTAGTATCTAGATAGAGTAGATAGAGTTAGTGCTGTTAGTCAATGCGACTCTTACAGCTTCATCTGACACAGCCGCGAGCTATCATGTCCAGTAATACATTATGAATCGTTCTTGTTTGCCGAGATGTAGTTCAAAGTGTGCTTTAGCCTGAATGTCACATATTATGACAATCGTTTTAACGTTTTGTGTCTCTTTCCCCGTAGTAAATATGAAGAAAAAAATGTCTTGCTAACTACTCTATTTTCTTTCCATCATTTTTGCACATCGATAACGTTCAGGTTGTGATCGAACCACTTTCATTCGTTCAATCGTTATCAACACAGGTCTAGTATTTTTTTTAATAATTGATTAATGTTTTAGAATTTGATTTGACTTTAATTTCTTATGCAAGATAAATGAGACACTTAATTGTGTAGTAGTGTTATAAATGTTAGTTCCCTTATTTTACAACGGAGGTACATTGCTTATACATTTTTAAAACGTCAAATAAAAAAAAACAATTCCCATTGTTTGAAAAGTATAATATGTTCCTCCATTGTAAATGCTGCTATTCGATATAAATTAAAAATATCGTCCTATTCATGAGAAATATTATATTTGCGGCGTGAAATAAATAAATGGTATATTTGTTAATATTCCACAAAATATACGTACAAAAGGTTTAAAAATATATGTTAAACAATTCTTAAACAAGTAAACTTTTGACTGATTACCTGTTTTTGCAACTTTATTTCTCATAGATAAGATGACCCAATTTTAAATAATTTTTAATCATTGAAAATCTTTGTTAAAGCAAGGAACTTACATGACGACGGAATTGGGGAAGCTAGTGGGACTGTATCCTTGCACTGGGAAAGGTGGAAGTTCTTCTTCACTTTCGTGGTAGTTTCCTACCACACTTTCGTACTCTGTTAAAGAAATACAAGCGTCAGTTGCACGGACGGGCAATATTGTATTTTGTACATTAATCAAAACTGTGGTTTTTGTGAGTATTGGGGAGGGAAGATTAATAGTGTGAGAGTAAACGGTTTGTACTCACTGACGCATCTCCCCAGGTGTACCAGTTGACAAATACTAACATGACCATACTCACACAGGTGAACTAATAAAGGCCCCTAAATGAGATCTCTTGTTATTGTGATCGAGAATTCGCTTTCCTTATATTGTACCAAATCAATTCTGTGAGTGAGAACGAACATTGGACATTTACAGGCTGGTCAAGACAGATAAGGAAAAGGGACGCGTGGGCTTACATACTAACTACCAACAATAATAGAAGTAGATCGTTAGATTCGCTAAGCAATCTCGGAGTAACATTAAAAGTTCACTGCAAAACATGTGCATATTCCATAGTGTTTCCCTCACGATGTTTTCCTTCACCGACGAGCACGTGGTGAATCAGCACTTAAAATTGCAATTAACAATTTCATTAGTGCCGGCGGGGATCGAACCCGGGTTAACTTGCGTTCTGTTATATTTACAGCGAGCGTTAACTGTGATGTATTTGCTATAATTGCCGCACCTAACAAGCAGATTAGCCTTTTCATCACCAGATGTCTGCCACTACTCCCCTCAGCCAGAAATATACCCGATATTTCAATCACCAGGTGCATCCTGTTAACTGACATATGAGGCTCTAACCAACGAAAGGTGACGGAAAAACCGTCTAATATAATAAAAAAGACTGGTGATAAAAAGCAGGCTTGCTAGTGTGGGTACAAGCTTTGAGCTCGCCAACCAACCCAGAGCGTCGTGAGTATGTTGACACATTCTTAAAAGCTAAGGGTTTTAAGAATGTTGTGGAATATGCACTTACCTCGTATCACCCTTCTGACTCTTTTAATAGCCTCCCCGGAGTACTCGCCCAAAAGAGCCTCTACCGTCCTCCCCCTGCTGTCAACGGCATGAAGGTCGGCCCCCTTCGCCAACAAAATGCGAACCACCGATGCTTTACCGAAGCAAGCCGCCTCATGTAACGGCGTGCCTGAGTAAGACCGGACATTGGGATCGAACCCGGCGGCAAGGAGTGCTGATACTACGTCCCTAGGGATGACAGTTCAAGGTCAGCATATGAACACACACACACACGCGCGCACACTTACACAACCACACATGCACGCTTGAGGGTTAATTGTTTAAAACTGTATAATCACCTAACTACTATAATAAAATAAATAAAAGCCGCAAACTATTAATGACCGCGATTACCAATTTCATATTAAAACTAATACCAATAATGTATGAGAAGCAACACGATTTTGTTTTATTAGAAGATTCACCAATAGTTGCAATATTGCTTAGAGCCGATTTTTCAATCGTTAGGGCCATTAAACGCAGAGAAGCGACGCAACACGACGATGCTTGAAAAAGTGAGTGGTTTCGCCCCGCATAGCGCTCTGCCGCGAGACGCATCGCGACGTCGCGAGATGTCGAGAGACGCATCGTGGAGTCGCTGAAAGCGCGACGCAGCGCCCTAGTCGCCACGGCGATTTCAAGCTGCACCTCGCGGCATTGCGCTGCGTGAAGCGACTTCGCGACGCGCAGCGCGGTGTAGCGCGATGCCGCGGTGCATTTACGAATCTCAATAAAATACGTATATTTTTGTGTAGTAAATTCAGATATATTTTGTATCACTATCTTATTAAATGCACGTCGCGTCGTGTTACGTCTCGTTGTGAACTGACCCTAAGATAAAATTTGTGGATCAAAAAAATTATAACCAGACTGAATATTAGGTCTTTACTTATGAAAAAAAATTACGTTAACTTATTTCGTAAAAAGAAGTTGCCGCTTTTTATGAAATGAGTCAAGCTAATTTTTTTTATATTTTTTATTTCTATTAATCAAAGTAATCACCCATGCAATCGATGCATCTTTGCCAATGCATTGGCAGTTTATTGATGCCCTTCTTGAAGAAATCAGCTGGACGGGAGGCAACAAATTCTTGAAAGGCATTTTGTGCAGTCTTTCGGGTACTGAATTTTTTTCCCGCCATAAAAAAGTTGATGCAAATTCAGGAAAAAGTAGAAGTCTGTAGGCGCAAGATCTGGAGAGTATGGCGGATGACGGAGAGCTTTCAACTCCAGCTCTTGTAAACTCTGACAGTGAAATGAGACAGTCTGTTGTGCAGTATAAGGTCACACGTTGTCGTGCAGGAGCAGTGGAAACGAAAGATTGACCAAAGCTGGTTGGAGACGTGCGAGCTTCTCCATAATTGTGTTCAGTTTTTCACAGTACATATCTGTGAACAGTAATTCTCATCCCGTTTGGTGAGAAACTGTGATGAATCCCACCGGCGCACCACCACACAGAGACCCATCACTTTTCTAGGGTAAAGTTTTCTTTTAGGGCATTGTTTAGTTGCTGAACCAAGATCCAACTAACTTGCTGAGCACTTGCGATTGTCAAACAGAATCCATTTTTCGTTGCAGGTAACAGTCATGATTAAAATTCCTTCGTTTGTATGCATGTGAGAGTACAAGGCACGTCTCGACGTCGACTTCGCGCTGGCGATCATGGAACACCCAATTATCTTGCTTTATTACGTTACCAATTTGACGCAAATGGGCCAATATTGTTTTGATGCTAACGTCGAAAGATGCTGCTGATTCAGCAGTAGATTGGTAACATTAGCTTCAACAATCGCCTTTAAGTCATCATTGTCGACCAAAGCTTTCGGACGACCACGGGGTTCATTTTTCAAGTCGAAATTTCCAAAACGGTAGCGGTCAAACCAATAACAGTTGGTGCGTTCGTTCGTAAATGCATATTCCATAATTACTCGAATTTTTAACGTATTCATGATGACGAAAAAGATTCAAATGCCACTAAAACAACGCTAATCAATAAAAAAATTACTAATTATGAAAAAAAAAACATGTTTTTGAAATAAAATTAATTTGAAATTAGAATTCATAGCCAACCAAAAATTATTTTGATCTGAAATAGCTAGTAGGTACTGCAGAACGACAATTCCATAGGTAAAGACCCATTACAATTATAAATTTTAGTTTGTTAATGTTTTATTTTAATCCATGAATAAATTTTATCTGAGAAATTAAAAAATCAGTCCTTAAGGTGAAGTGGGCGCCAAAAGCAGATTTTTGACGCTTTATAGGTGCGACTAGCGGCTGTTTGGTCGACCCGCGCGCTATTTAATCGCACGACATTTATTTGATATTTCTTTTTAAAATTATATATGCTCTTTTATTAAAAAAAATAAACCCATAATTCACTCACGTATTAAATGGTGAACACATAACCTAAATTTAATTGAAATTGATTTCATTACATTCGAATGAAACAGCATTTCACTTAGTGGACGTACCTAAAATTGTAGATTTTGAAGAAATTTTGCGATCTTTTTCTATCGAGCTAAAATGTGTTAACCGTGTTTTGGCCAACATAATTCACTATGAAAAATCTTTAAATTTCATAAATAATTTAAAAAATGTGGATGCGTAGTTTTAATGACAAAAAATTGCTTTTCTGCGCACCTATAAAGCGTGAAAAATTTGCTTTTGGCGCCCACGCCACCTTAATGAGACATAAATTACAGTAGTCGAAAACATGTAGAGGAAAAGAAAGCTTAATAAAAGTACTACTTATAACAATTTCTGTATACTATAATTTCTATTTAATTTAATCAGTTAAAGTTAATCAGGGTTAAATCAATTGCAATTATAAGCACTTATAAAATAACAATGAAACTAACAAATAGTAGATTGTTGACATTATTACTAAACAGGGACTTGTAAACAAAACCGCCTATTCATATTACAACATAACATAACATAACATTCACTTTTCAAAGAACCATTCTAAATGCTATATATATAAACCCCAAATTTACTTTAGTTAGTAGGCAATGTAAGTATATGATGTTTTTAAATCATTCTTTCAATAATCGAGGCCTTCTAACATAAAACATAAAAGGAAACGAATATTTAAAAAAAAAACATCAACACACTCGTGTACATATTTGATTGGAGTACGTTCATAAACCAATCCAGCGATGCATATTTATGAACACTCGGAACTAACGAATCAAATTCATATCACAAGTCAGTGGTTAGCTCCCGTTGATCACTAACGAAATATGTGCGGAAATTCGAAACGTGTGGGAAAAAGCATTTCCTATTTCAATCAATAGAAGACTATCAAAATATAATAAAAGAGAAAAAACCATATCTATATTATAAAAAAAAAAAAAGAAAAATGTGGGGGGGGGGGGGGTTTGATTTTTTTTTTTTTTTCGGGGGGTGGGGGGGGTATTATAAAAAAACATATTTTTTTTAATGGGGGGGGGGGGTGGGTGCTTTTTTTTAATTATTAAAAAAATAAAAAAGCATTTTTTTTTTTCAAAAAAAAAAAAAAAAAAAGGGGGGTGTGGAAATATGGTTAAAAAAAGAAAAATAAAACTTAGGTTATTTAGGTATATTTAAGTATAATATGTTACTCTCGTTAGTCTATTGATCGCAAGTGCAACCGCTGATCATGTGGTCCCGTCAGAAACCCAGATCGGGACAAAATCTGTGATTGGGTTTTTATGCCAAAAAATGTGTCACCTCCGTGCCTATGAAACCACACAAAACCTTTGGTCCTGCGCCTGATTTCTCTCCAGTTATGTCGGATTAGTATCCCATTGGACCATGACAGCGAGCGGATAGGGTGTACACCTGTGCTTGGTACAAATGTGCCCTGCATAGATGGTTAATCTTCGTTAACCATCTATGTAGGGCACAATTGTAGACCAGCCAGTAGTAAAAAATATTGAAGTCCTTTGATTATTTGAAGTAATTTGTATTGCCTCATTTCAACGCGCCTACTATTATGGTACGTAAGCAGTAAATATATACTTAAGTGAACACCACACAAATATAAATAATTTGTTATGTTAAAATGTAATAAATTAAAATTTTCGATTTATATTATGTACTTTAACAAATAATTTAAATTACACAACTATTAGCTGCTCATAATCATCGTCTCCCTCTTTTATTCGTAACAAAGCGTGGGTAGCTCAGGGGGATGTAGTATATTGTACATTGTACATATACATATTAATATTGATTGGGTGAATTAATCGAATATTTGCACGGTGCAACTCATTAGAGAAGTACGCTTATTCACTATACCATGCGGTTTCTAAGATGATAAGAAAAGTGCTTTAAAATATACCTTGCAATTTTCATAATATGTCAAAGTTCAGGTTACTAACTCTCCCCTCACATCCAAAATATTATTATATTCGCAGACAAAGCGATTGAAGCGTTATAACGAACGAATGAATATGAATACGCCACGATTGCCGCATGTGTAAACACCATAAATTAATATACGAAGGGAAATTGTCTCACTTTACGTTATAATATCCCAATTTATAACATGTAACACTGGTAGTTAAAGTTCATGGACATAAAATATAAAAAATTAATTATTATAAAAAGTAACGCAGCTAATAGGGAATTGCCGATGTAGAAATTTACTATTTACAGGTCGTTACAAGACAAAATCATAATTTTATTATCAGCTACAATTTTCAAAATTACCGGAGTATTTGGGACGAGTCAGGCAGACTAGGTCGGCACGAACGTATTGGTACATTTGTATTGGTTTTTTTTTTTGAACGCCCTCTAAACAGTTAGTGATCCTTTGCATGTGTTATACCTAAACATGGGAAAATGATTAAAAAAAATCAAAACCGATAATAATCTATAACCTATCCTAGCTATCTATAACTTAGAACACCGAGAGACGCTGATATGCGATATATTTTGACACTTCCGTCGCTGTTTATTTTCAAAATACTATGTATGTACCCATCATCATCGTCATCATTATTACAACCCTTCACAAGTCCACTGATGAACATAAGCCTCCCCCAAGGAATGCCACAAACCACGGTCCTGACTTCCTGCATGTCTTACCAGGTCGTTATTCCATCTAGTGGGGGGTCACCCTACACTTCTCCTACCGGTACGAGGCTGCCACTCGAGAACATTTTTTCCGCATCGGTTGTCGGTATTTCGAGCTACATGGCCAGCCCATTGCCACTTCAGCTTACTAATCCTTTGGGCTATGTCGGTAACTCTGGTTCAACTGCGCCGATATCTTCATTTCTAAATTAATCACGCAAAGAAACCTCGAGCCTATGCTCGGAGGACTATTCCTCACATCCATAGCTCGCTGAGCGACATTGAGTGTCCTCATAAGGCCAGCAGGGAAGTTGAATCCGTCGATTGACCTCTCGGTCGAAGCTGGACTTATCTAGTCGGACTATTTGTCTCAGGTAAACGTACTCGTCAACAACTTCGAGCATAGTGCACCCAAAAACTACCGGCACCGGTGTGACATGGACGTTACACATGATCTTTGTTTTATCTATGTTCATCTTAAGACCCATCCGTTAGGAGACACTATTGAGATCATTTCGCATAATGCTTAGGTCCCGCAGCGATTCTGTCATGAGGACTATATTGATATTAATACCGTATCCTTTTCAGTATATAAGTTTGAAAACAACTTGAAACACAGCGTTAATGTGTGTGTGTGTGTGACAAACGTGGATATAACGTCACCCAGTACTACATCTCTCTGCAGTTAGATTGGTTTCGTACTCTGGTTCTGTACTCGAATAGCCATCGAAGCCTTACTGTACAAACACTTCAGCACTTCGATATACCGACAGTCAACTTGGCACCGCTAAAGGGACTGTAGCGCCGCCCAAATTTCTACAGAATGAAAGGCTTCCTCATAGTCCATATACGCAAGGCTAAGTGACAGATTGTACTCTTCGGTCTTTTGTAGAATTTGCCCAAGGGTATGTATGTGGTCTATGGTACTAAAGCCTTTTCGGAAACCGGCTTGTTCTGCAGGAAGTCGTCGAGTCTGCGTGCGAGACGATTCGTAACGACTCTTGAAAACAGCACGTAGACGCGGCTCAGAAGGGAAATCAGTCTATAGTTCGTCAAGAGGGCGTTGTCGCCTTTCTTGAAATACAAGACTATCGCACTTCTGCTCCCCGCTCCCGGAGTAGTTAAGCCGCCTAAGGATAGAATTAAAGAGCTACTCTGAAGGACTTCAAGTACCGGTTTTCCACCCCCTTTCAGAAGCCCCGCTGTATTTCCATCCTCAACCGGCGACTTGCCGTTTTTAAGGTGATAGAGAGCCATTCTAATCTCGCTCAGAATGACATCCGGGATATCATCAGAATAGTGTCGGATAAGACTTGCTCTCGGATTTTTACCCACACTTGCGCGTGACTCCAATGATGACGCGTACAGCTGCTCATAGAACCTCTCAATCTTACTCAAAATCTCAGGTATTCCGGAAACGTTGCTGCCACACAAGGTCTTTAGTTTCGACAGTTGGCTCTTTCTGGCAGACAGATCTCTGGCAAAGTTTTGAGGCCTTGGGCCCGCTCCATGGCTTCTTCAATACGAGCTGTATTTAAGTTGTGTAAGTGCAAACTGCAACTTCATTTCCCGTCTAACAGCCATTAGATTAAGAGTGTGATAGGAAAGTTTTTGTTCTCCTGCGACGTGGCTTACAGAACTTAGCTCCGACCGCATCTACAGTTTTCACGAGCTTTTCATTCATATCGTCCACTGTATTGCAGTCTTTTAGGCACTGAAAACAGTTTTGTAAATTGAGCTCAAAGTTTTCGGGATATGGATCAGAGCACGAGAGAGACGGGACGTTGACTTCATTAGACGGGACCTCTCCAACTTAACGTTTAGGTACAGTGTGCCTCCTCTAACCATTCGGAGATTGCTGCCAGTTTTCACCCTCGCGATCACTGGAGACGTCACTAAACAGTTGTCGTCTAGTCGTCATAATGATGAACTGTCGGGGCTCGACCAGGTACAATTCCTGTGTGGCCGCTTCTGGAAGAAAGAGTCCCTCTTTACCATTTTCCTACCTTCAACTCACCGTTCTCTCTTGTGCCTAGTTTTACGTTGAAGTCTCCCATTAACCCCGTATAGTGGGATTGGGAGAAATGCATGGCTATAGAGATATCCTCATACATTTCGTCCACCTCCTTATCAGCATGTGGCGTCCTGACATTTATTTTATTTATTATGACAACGCTACAGTTTAGTGATTCTAAGTTTAAGTTACGCAACCCTCGTCGACACACTCACAATCTTTACAACGTTGTTAACTCAAGACTGAGACTCAAGGACGGAAATCCGACACCTCCTTGGGACAGATGGTCGCCCTCTCGGAGATACAAGTTGCAGGATGCGAGGATAACCCTGTCCTGCCCCTCTCTTGGGACCTCAGATGATTCTATAATATCCCAGCGCAACTTGTCTATCTCTCCATCCAGCTCCAGGATCTTCTCGTCAGTCCTCAGCGTGCGTTCGTTTCATATTGCCAGGTCGAGTCGTCTTAGGTGGCAGCCGAACCATCACTAGAGATTCTTAGCACCCCTGCCCCGCCGTTAACATGATCGCCACCGTAGCCAGGAATAGCGGGGCCGCCGGGGACTAGAGGCCGTAACTTCGTAACTCTCATCGTGGGGGGAACTATATTTGACATAGTTGCCATACTTGACGAGCGGGTTAGCAACCGCAGTTCTTTTATTGTACTATTACTGTTATCAGGAAGATGCTGCTGCCTATCTCCTGCCTGTTTCCTTCGGTCACCTCTTACGACATCCACGGGAAGATATGGGGTAGTGGATATTCTTAACCGCCACTACACGGTATGTATGCATACGCATGGGAAACTATAACGATATCTACACTAATATTATAAAGAGGAAAGATTTGTTTGTTTGTTTGTTCGTTTGTTTGTTTGAATTGAATAGGCTCTGAAACTACTGAACCGATTTGAAAAATTCTTTCACCATTAGAATCCTATATTATTCCTGATGAACATAGGCGATAGAACGTTTTCAAAAAATTTAAGGATCCGTATAAAAACTTCGTTAATGTAACCCAAGGTGTGAAAAAAATACCAAAAAAAAAACCTTATATCGCGTACGCTGCGGAAACTATTGACAATAGAGCAAAGTGATGTGCTACAGTTTTATGGAGGACATCAATATCTACATAAAAGTCTGCAATACCATATGTCTAACTACTTTTCCATGTTAAAATATTCAATAGTAACGTCGAAAAATCCTTATATCGCGTACACTGCCAGCACCATGCGATGCGGGTGTCACTGGGGTGTGGGAGGGGAGTCTATGGGGGGGGGGGGGTTGTGGACAAAATTTAAATTTTCTGTATAATGTGTATATGCCGATAGATAAAAGTACTCCATTAATTTTGCTAATTTTTTAGCTAAAATGATTGAGCTAAATGAGCGAGGTGTCATATCATGTCGCGCGGCAGAGACGCGTGATATACGCGGGTGAAACCGCGGGGTACAGCTAGTAAAATATAAACTAATAGAATAAAAAACGAAATCTGTCTTGTAGATCAGGACGAAGAAAAACGGTAGTGGTTCCGTAATTCAGATTGGCTTAAACTATAAAATCTGTACTGAGTAAATACATATTTTTTTCAATAACATTTTGAAAATATAAGGCAACAATAATTTATTGTAGTTAATAATTAAAAATATTAGAGTAAAACAATTACTATTTAATCTTAATCTCAAAAATAAATGAGTTTTGACTTTGAAAACTTACTTATGTCCGTTTTTACTGGCGCGATGCAAGGGCGTGGAGGAAGAAAATATCTTGTCCCTGCAGTTTGGGTACTTGTAGGGTTGCACCAGTAATGGCCTCACTCGGAGCATATGCTGAACTGTCTCTAACCTGCTCGAAGGCGGAATATTACGTGTTTTTAGATGACAATATTGGTATTGGTACCTGTAATTAATTAGTCTACTGCAGTACGTAGGTCATCCCTCAGTTGCTGTGAATTAGTCGTAATTGCTAACATAGCTGGAGCGTTAACTGTCATTTTTGACATGACGATAAGCTAAGAATAACAGATGTGACATTTTACTCTGTCACCTCCTCACGATGCGGTTCTGAAGTGAACAGATTAATTCATCATTTTGTTCCGTCATTAGAGCATTAAATCTTAAATCGCTACTTAACTGTAAATTATCCGTTGGTAAGGTCAATATTTTGTAATTGAATTTTCTCGTATACTGATAATTTTTGTAACTTTCGTTTATGTAGTTAAAAACGACATGTTAAAAATATTTTGAAAATCCAAAAGAGCACGCCTCACACGCTTATTATGTAAAAAATTAAAAGATATTAAGAAAGAGTGACGAGAATTTTTACATGAAAAAAAAAACAGATTCTGATCGACTTTCATTAATAACTTTTGAACAGTTTTAAGCACAATAACAAAAACCAATAGGGATCATCCTTGGAATATATAGAATCATATTTTATACTATATATCTCAATGTATTGCTCACATTTCTATAAAACAAGACTCACTGATGCACAGACCAACGGACGGCAGTCCATATATTTTTCAATATTTTTTTGTTATGTAATCTAAAGTTAATCAATTAGGGAATAAACTAATCTTATCATTCAATTTCTGTAGTTATTGTAACGTTAACAATAATATGTACACCTAAAGTATAAGAACAATTTTATGTAGCGAAATTGAGGTATGGCTACATATCGAGAGTAGAGCACTCCCTCACGCTGTGAGGCGGGCAATTCTATGCATTACTGCCACTTCTTACCCTAGCCATTAAACGAAACACAAACGAAGTAGAGCAGTGTTGCTTTTTTTAATTAAATAGTTCATTCTTCAGGGACGGTCTCATATAAGTTGGAAAACAAATTCCATCCAAACACATCGAAACTACATTATAGTTGTTTGTTACCTTGAGTGATATTCCTTTGTACACTCAAAACGGTTAAAAATCAAACTTATTATAAAAAAGTAGGGTCGACTTCAAAGAACTAAAAATATTCAAATAATTTCCACTATAATAGTTGTTAAAATTCTTCTGCACGCTGTCTTATGAAAAAAATCTTTTTACTCATTTGACGTCTGCTCCTACTTTAAATTTTAATTTATTATTTATAAAAAATCAATGTATTTTAATATAATACATCCATGCGGTTCAAACTTATAAATCTAATATTACTTTGACAAAGTTGCTGTGACCACAAAACCGTCACACACAAGTTTAACTTGGACGTAAGTTACTCCTACGAACAAGACTCTAGAAGGGAGTAGTCATAGTTAGAATAAGTAACGTTAACTTGCCAGCTTGCGGGTAACTACCAGCTCGTGTGCCAAGACGCCCGCTCAAGTTACTTAAAGATTCTCAAGTGATGAGCTAAAGTCTTTCTCAAGAAAATTTGTAAAGTTTGTTAGTAAGATAAAAAATTTATTTCTAAAGAACACCCTACATTTGTTAAATTTATTTCAAATGTATAAATCACTCAATTAAGAATGCGAGAAAACAAAAAGCATCTTCAGCTGCATTTTCGTGATTATGAAAATGTTTAAATCGCTTTAAAAATGGACTACTTATTAGATTTTTAAAGAATATTATCGTTCAAAAATTAAAAGTTCGGTAAGACTGAGTAGATACGTCATAATTCATTCGATTATGTTTCGAATTAACATGTCAATTGTCTTGATTCGATCCAGGCGATTGATCTGTTATCTAATATAAATATAAAAATAATACGGATAATTGGCCTGCCCTGAATAACCTGATGACGGTCCGACGAATCAGACTCCCTATATTCTTCGACTGTGTGCGGTCTGAACTTACCGCCCGTATTGTGCCGCGAGGTCCAATGCGCTTTCGTCCTTCATATTCCTCAGTTCTGCATCAGCTCCTCTTGCGAGCAGTTGCGCAACTACGTCCACGTAACCAAATTGGGCGGCTATGAGCAACGCTGTCTCCTGATCCGAGGTCTGTATGGAGAAACAAATACCAGCATGATAATTAATACAATTTTTTAAATAAATGGGCATACCACTAAATAACAATACTATATTATGTTTTCAATTAACCCGATGAAACAAAGGTAGTCGATGGATGCATATAGCTGAGGACATTATCAGGGAAGCCGGTGTTCAGCAAATCCATTTCTAGTATATAGAGCTAGTGTTATATTGATGTCTTGAAAATAACTATTTTCAATATAAAAAGTTATAAATATGTTTACCACTTGATGAGAGTTAAAGATAATTTAAATACTTTTGAGCTTTTGACTGGTCTTTATTTAAGACAAAGCGCCTGTTAATTTTTACGCGGCAATATTATACTCAGGCAAATCATATGATTTTACGCGGCAATATTATACTCAGGCAAATTATATGACTTTTTTATTTATTGAGTGCACAGTGCACACATTGCTCATCGAATATTGTAATAATATTATATAATAGTTGTAGTGACATCTCAAATAAACATTTGAACGTGGTCCTTTAGCATATCGGATTACTAAAATAAAATACAACGAAATTATAAACGAAAATATAAATAAATTATACCTCTCACCTGTGAAAATTAAAAGAAGTTAAGTTTATCACTCTCTTTTACATGCCTTCATTGTATTTTCAACGTACCCATTGATCAATGTTGACTGAGGGGTTGTTATGAGCCAGGAGCATAGAGACGATGTCAGAGTCTCCCTTCCACGCCGCCAGGTGGAGCGGCGTTGCGCCCTTTTTGTCCACAACACATGGCAGGGCGTCCACTGATAGGAGTAGGCGGACTATCTCTCTATAAATAAACAATCAATCATTTACATTTTGTTCTAATACGACAAAAATCATAAAATTATTTTGTTTTCGAACAATTAAAATTTTAATTGGAAATTCACAGTGCTGTATTAGTCCCTACTTTAACGTATGGTAGTGAAAGTTGGGTGTGGCAGAAGAAGCACGAGAGTAGAATAAATGCAGTAGAAATGCGGTCGCTAAGGAGTATGTTAGGGCTGAATCTTAGTAACAGGGTGAGAAACCGTGTGATAAAAGAAGAGTGTGGTTTGCAAGATGATGCGGTGACAAGGATTAAGAAAGGAATGCTTCGGTGTTTTGGTCATGTAGAAAGAATGAATGAGGAAAGACAAAGCAAATATATGTTGCAGAAGTGAATGGAAGAGTCGGAAAGGGACGTCCTAGGCGAAAATTTGTCGACCAAATTGGCGATATATTAAAAATGGGCAGCAGCAAGCAGTTTGTTGAGAATCGTTTACTGAATCGATTCCTATCATTTTTAATATATGTAATTTTTTATCTCAAAAATAATTAAAAATACGTAAATTACAGTCACACTAAATCTGTACAGTCAAAACAAACTGAAATGAACCTTAACTTAAGACAATAAGACTTTTAAGAGTGCAGTTTTATTTGTATTATTACTAATTCTGTCATTCAATAAAAATAAAGAAAAATGAACTTTATTTCAAGCAAGTTAAAGTCTTTGCGTTCGTGGATTTGTACTGTGACCACAACATTCTTCCGGAATTAGTATAACTTATTTGATAAATAATCAGTATATAAAAATGTTTAACTAAAAATTCAGTGTATGTATTATGATTATAACATAATATACTAATTGGGGTGTCTGAGGGTGTGCGTTAATTACGTTAAATATTGTATATATGTTCATACATATTGTACATACATACTGTACATAGGGAGGCCTATGTTCAGCAGTGGACTTGTGAAGGGCTGTAATGATGATGATGATTGTGTATATTTATATATATATATATATATATATATATATATATATATATATATATATATATATATATAGGTATATGGATATGGAAGAGAGAGGTATGTCAGGATCGTACTAAATGGAAGTCTGTAGTGTCTGCCTACCCCTCTGGGTGACAGGCGTGAGTGTTTATGTATATGTAAAATTTTAATGTTATCTAATACTAAGTGTAAGTACAAGTAAGGATCTCTTGTCTTGCGTGTATTACCACAGATTAACTAATAGTTACAAGTCACGCTTATCGCCGTGTAGTGGAGAGACAAGAGAATCCACAAACCCAAATCATCCCTAGAGTTGTGTAAGAGTGACAGAGGGAAACTTACTTTAGTATGTAACCATTTATGATGTTTCAAAATTGATTTGAGTATTTAATATGTCGCAGGTTTATGACAAAACCTGGTTTTTGATCAAAAACCTAAACTGATTTAGTTTTATGATAAAATATATGTCAGTTGCTATTTTTTAAATAAATTAAAAACAATTAGATAACATAACCTGAGCTTAAATTTTATCATAAACATAAACAAGTTCAGGTTTTTGACCACAAAACAGGATTTATTCAGGTTAATGATAAGATTAAGTAATAATTTTGTCTTCTTCCGGTTCTTGAATAAAAACCTGATTTTACCACAAACCTGCGATATACACTTATATACGATTTAAAATCGTCACAGACAAAATAAATGTCGGTATGAGTCACCCCTTTATTGTACTTAATGTTTCTCAAAATGTCGATGCCTTTAGAATTTGCTGTTACCTTACATCAAGCTCGTCTCAATCATCAAAAAGGTTTTTATAAATTACGTGTGACATCTGTACAAATCAAAAACAAGAAATAAAGACAAAATGCTTTCAAACAATAAATAATAATGATACTTTATGGAAACAAGTAACAAAACAAATAAAATTTATAGATAAAAACTACTTTTATGGATTTTATCGCGTTAAATTTATTTTATTTTTAATACCCGACGTTTCAGGTGCTCTCCAGCACCCATGGTCACGGGGGACTGAGATGACTGACGTCCCGATGTCAATGTTAACCCGGAGTACATTCAGCTTTTTAATTATTGTTTTTAGTCCGATCTACGCAGAATGAAAGCACCCAAAAAGTCGGGTACTAAAAACAAAATAAATTAAACGTGATAAAATCCGTAAGTATAAGTGTTCGCGTAAATAAAAGAAATTATTAAATAAAATTCAAATAAAAAATACCATGGTTTTATCATATTCTTGCATTGTCATCCAAATTTGCAATATATTCAATATTTTAAGTTTTCAGCTCATCGGGAAGTTAATTTAAAATGAATTACTAAATTCCACACTGACCGACAGACATTAACCACGTTTTTATTAATTTAATAAAATTTTTATTTTATTTTTTTAATAAAAACGTGGTAAAATGGATTAATAACACTCGTCTTTTAGTAGATTTATACTTTTAAGGAGCTGTCAAAACGAAACTTTTTATAGAATTTGTATGGCAATACTAGTAAATGTCTCCATAGATTCTTGGTAGTCAATTTGACACACTGTTCAAAGAAGAAACCTCATATATATAGTGTAATATTAATTATTAATGTTAGTATCTATCAGCTACGAAATTGCATAATGAACAAGTTACTATATTTTTTTCATATTAAGTTATTACGTCCAAAAAATTGTCAAAATGAACGAAGAATATATTATTTAAACTTAAATGTTTAACAAAGATGAAAGGCGTTCACAAATTTCCCCGAGATTAATTATAGTTTTTCTACGTGGTAGAGCTACGCTGCAGCTATATAATAATTAAAAATACGTAAATTACAGTCACATTAAATCTGTACAGTCAAAACAAACTGAAATGAACCTTAACTTAAGACAATAAGACTTTTAAGAGTGCAGTTTTATTTGTATTATTACTAATTCTGTCATTCAATAAAAATAAAGAAAAATGAACTTTATTTCAAGCACGTTAAAGTCTTTGCGTTCGTGGATTTGTACTGTGACCACAACATTCTTCTGGAATTAGTATAACTAATTTGATAAATAATCAGTGTATAAAAATGTTTAACTAAAAATTCAGTGTATGTATTATGATTATAACATAATATACTAATTGGGGTGTCTGAGGGTGTGCGTTAATTACGTTAAATATTGTATATATGTTCATACATATAGTACATACATACTGTACATAGGGAGGCCTATGTTCAGCAGTGGGCTTGTGAAGGGCTGTAATGATGATGATGATTGTGTATATTTATATATATATATATATATATATATATATATTATCTCTCACAGAACACCAGCGTAAAATGGCAGCGTAATGCTGCTGTGTTTCGGTTGGTGAGTGTAGAGTACCGGAGACCCTTTTTACTGGAATCGAGTCATTTCATCTTAATCCTCAGGAGTGACGATACAATTGTATTTTGTTTCTTAATTGAGAATAAATGTAGATTTCTATGGGCCACAGTATCCACTTACCATCAGTTGGACTGTGTGCTCGTTTGTAACTATGCTATATATAACTATAAAAACAGGGTTGACTGGCATCGAATGCCATAAGGCATCAAGTCCGCCCTTTATATGCCTTAGTATAAGGTGTATAATAAAGATTAAATAAAATAAAAAGGCGGCAGACAAGAAACCACGAGAAGGACAGCAGAGTCTCTCTAATAACCACTAGAAAATATAAAATTGTGGCAAATATCCTTCTCCTATCCTATGATTCAACCTATGTTGCAGTGGAGTTTCATAAGCTGTAATAAATGAATTAATAAAATCTTACATTGCAGAAATTGAATGGCTGAGACGGCAAGGAACACCCTAGACTGAAGTGTATCGACTAAACAGGCAATATATTGAAGATGGGCTAAATTAAAATAGTTACCGACTAACAAATCGTACATAGATATTAGGTATATTATGGATGTGAAAGATGCGAGAAAGGTGGGTTTAGGGATTGTGACAACCGAAAGTTCGTAGTCCTTACCTGACCTTACCTTAGGTAATGATAAAATAATTATTTAAGAAATCAACAAATTTTTCGCAACTCACTTATGTCCACGTAAGCAAGCGTGATGAAGAGGCGTATATCCATTGTCATCTTGAACATTGACACCGGCGCCCCTCCGTAAACTGAAACAATAAAAAAATATTTAAAAAAAGAAAATTCGCAGTCGGTAGGATTCGAACCTACGCTCCCAGAGGGAATCTGATTTCTAGTCAGACGCCTTAACCGCTCGGCCACGACTGCTTATGACGAGCAATGTAAATTTTTTATATCTATACTATCATACATTTAATACTATAAAATTTAGGTTATATTTGCACCGATCTGTCATGAGTCATGCATATTTTATTACGGTGACAGTTGATTATTTTTATTCATATATTAATCGTTGGTGCGCCTGATAATGATCGTATAACTTTCGAACGACTTACCGATTGAGGTCATACACTATGTATTCGCTTATTCGAGACGATAGTTCACTAATCAAGTTATTAAAAAAATTGCCTTATTGTTTAGTAAATAAATTAATGTAGATTTGGCGCTTTGATTGATGGCGCTACGGTCGTGTTATTTATAAATTTTGTATCAGTTGTTTATATGTGGTAGAGCCAAGCTTCAGCTATATTATGTTTGCAGCATGAATAGGTCGGTTCGACCAGGGAAGAACCACGCTTTCACATAATACCCGCGTAAAATAGCAGCGTAATGCTGCTGTTTCGTATGGTGAGTGTAGAGAACCGGATAACTTTTTTACTGGAATCGAGGCATTCCATCTTAGTTCTTCAGGGGTGACAACGCATCTGGATTTTGATTCTTAATCGAGGTTAAATGTAAGATGTCTATGGGCCACAGCATCCGCTTACCATCAGGTGGACTGTGTGCTCGTTTGTCACCCATATCCTGTAAAAAATAGTCGGGAGTAAATTCACCGCCCAAAAACCGAAACGGACTACGCCAATTTATATTAATTTAGTACCTATATATATATATATATATATATATATATATATATATATATATATATATATATATATATATATGCGTAGGCGTGTTTGAGCGGGTCCCGATTCATAATTGGACCCGGTAGGTGCCGCTGTTGTCCCCCGTGCGAAGCCGCTTATAGGAATCATATAATCTATACTATAATATAATAAAGCAAGAGTTTCTTTTTGTTTGTAATCTCTGGAACCACAAGTCCGATTTGAAGATATTTTTGTATATGATAAGCCAGATTCACGACGAACAGTATAAGCACCTCTCAGTTAGCCTTAAATATTGATTATCATTAAGCAAGTCTGAAGAAAAACGTTCTCGAACTGATTCATCTGCGTGCGCTGGCATAATGGCTAGTGATACGTAAACACAATGTTCTACAAAAATATTGATCTTTACTTCATTTAAGACAAAGTCCACGATACCATATGCCTATTTCTTATACATAAGCCACAATAAACTATTTAGTGACAAAAATATTGAAAATTAAAGTGATTTATGAGCGTTATTATTAGGCATCGCATATAATCCTTATGAACGAAAGTTACTGCATCATCAAGACAATTTTATGAAGATAAACTTTGCTCTTTTTATCGCATGTTATTTGAACGCATAGTTTAAGAGATAATGAAAAATTAAAATAATTCAACACTCGGCTCAGCGCGCGAACGACGCAAAACATTCATAACCCTTTGATTATTTACTTGTCAAGCATAGAATTAGTCTAATTACTCTATGTTGTCAAGTACATAATCAAAAACATAACCCTAGCCGCCCGATGAAAACTGAGAGGACCAATAATATTGGCTAAGTATAGTGAAGTAAGATATTTATAATAATAAGTTAATCAATCCATCAGTGATTTCTTAAATTGTACGCGGGTGAAACTGCGGGTCACAGCTAGTTATTTATATAAGCCATTAAATATTATATTTTGAAAGTAAAGAAATTATAAATGTATACTTAACGTAGGTAATGTGTGCCTATTTATAAATTTATTAAACTACGAGCAATAAAGTAAAGATTTTTATGTATGTAACATAACACATAAAACGTTAGACATGTATATGTATGTAATTGTACATAAAACACATATTATGTTGTACACGTATACATATATTATACATATATAAGTAAGAACACTAATCCAACCACTGACTCGTTGGTCCTAATCAAAGTCTACTACTGAAGGCTTCCCTATAGATGCCTCTGAAAGATGTGAATGTGAAGGAAACATTTGATTTACACTTTTACAACTGAAAATATGCAGGCCTTATCTATCAAAAAGTTTAAAAGTCTACTATGCTGTTTCTAAATGTTTTCATACTAATTGTATCATCATCATCATCATCATCATTACAGCCCTTAACAAGTCCACTGCTGAACATAGGCCTCCCCCAAGTAATGCCACAAAGCACGGTCCTGAGCCACCTGCATCCATCGACTTCCTGCATGTCTTACCAGGTCGTCACTCCATCTAGTGGGGGGTCGCCCTACACTACGCCTACCGGTACGAGGCTGCCACTCGAGAACCTTTCTTCCCCATCGGTTATCGGTTCTTCGAGCTATATGGCCGGCCCATTGCCACTTCAGCTTACTAATCCGTTGGGCTATGTCGATCACTCTGGTTTTACTGCGGATATCCTCATTTCTGAGTCTATCACGCAGAGAAACTCCAAGCATAGCCCTCTCCATAGCTCGCTGAGCGACCTTAAGCGTCCTCATACGGCCAGCAGTGAAGGACCACGTCTCAGATCCGTAAGTCATCACTGGCAACACGCACTGGTTGTACAATCTAGTTTTTAGAGATTGAGGTATACCTGACGAAAAGATATGTCGTAATTTCCCGAACGCTGCCCAGCCGAGTTGAATCCGTCGATTGACCTCTCGGTCGAAGTTGGACTTACCTAGTCGGACTATTTGTCCCAGGTAAACGTACTCATCAACAACTTCGAGCATAGCGCTCCCAACAACTACCGGCATAGGTGTGACATGGACATTAAACATGATCTTTGTTTTGTCCATGTTCATCTTAAGACCTATCCGTTGGGAGGCACTATTGAGGTCATTGAGCATAATGCTTAAGTCCTCCAGCGATTCTGCCATAATGACTATATCGTCGGCAAATCGAAGGTGAGTGATGTACTCGCCATTGATGTTAATACCGTATCCTTTCCAGTCCAGTAGCTTGAAAACGTCTTCCAACGCAGCGGTGAAGAGTTTCGGGGATATAACATCACCCTGTCTTACACCTCTCTGCAGTTGGATAGGTTTCGAACTCTGGTTCTGTACTCGGATAGCCATCGTAGCCCTACTGTACAAACACTTCAGCACTTCGATGTACCGACAGTCAACTTGGCACCGCTGAAGGGACTGTAGCACCGCCCAAATTTCGACGGAATCAAAGGCTTTCTCATAGTCCACATATGCCAGGCAAAGTGGCAGATTGTACTCTTCGGTCTTCTGTACAATCTGCCGCAGGGTATGTATGTGGTCTATAGTACTGAAGCCTTTTCGGAAACCGGCTTGTTCGGGAGGCTGGAAGTCGTCGAGTCTGCGTGCGAGACGATTCGTAATGACTCTCGAAAATAGCATGTAGACGCGGCTCAGAAGGGAAATCGGTCTGTAGTTCTTCAAGAGAGCGTTGTCGCCTTTCTTAAAGAACAAAACCACCGCGCTTCTGCTCCACGCCTCCGGAGTAGTGCCACCATGGAGGACGGAATTGAAGAGCTTCCGAAGAACTTCAAGTACCGGTGTTCCACCCGCTTTCAGAAGCTCCGCTGTAATTCCCGGGGCCTTGCCGTTTTTAAGGTGGTGGAGAGCCATTCTAATCTCGCTCAGACTGACGTCCGGGATATCATCGGAATAGTGTCGGATAAGACTTGCTCTTGGATCGTTACTCACACTTACGTGTGGCTCCAACGATGATGTGTACAGCTGCCCATAGAACCTCTCAATCTCACTCAAAATCTCAGGTGTCCCGGAAACGATGTTGCCACACTCAGTCTTCAGCTTTGACAGTTGGCTCTTTCTGGCAGACAGATCTCTGGCAAAGACTTTGGAGCCCTGGTTCCGCTCGATCGCTTCTTTAATACGAGAAGTATTAAAGTTGCGTAAGTCTCGCCGCATGCATTTGGAGATCTGTCTGTTCAGTTGCCTGTATGCTGTCAAATCTGTTGACGATTGCAGCCTCATCTCCCGTCTAACAGCCATGAGATTAAGAGTGTGATCGGAGAGTTTTTGTGTTCTTCTGCGGCGGGTCTTGCAGAACTTAGCTCCGACCGCATGGACAGTTTCCACGAGCTTGTCGTTCATATCGTCCACTGCATTGCAATCTTCTAGGCACTGGAAGCGGTTACGTAACTCGAGCTGAAAGGTTTCGGGATTCTGGATTAGAGCACGAGGGGGACGGAGCGTTGACTTCATTAGACGAGACCTCTCCAACTTAACGTTTAGGTTCAGTGTGCCTCTAACCATTCGGTGATCGCTGCCAGTTTTCACCCTTGCGATCACTGAGACATCACTGAACAGTTGGCGTCTGGTCGTCATAATGAAGTCAATCTCATTTTTTGTCGAACCGTCGGGGCTCGACCAGGTCCACTTCCTGTGGGGCCGCTTCTGGAAGAAAGAGTTCATCATAAAGAGTCCCTCTTTCTCCATAAAGTCGGCCAGCTGCTGGCCCCTTCGGTTCCGTTGCCCTACTCCAAATTTCCCTACCTTCAGCTCACCGCTTTCTCTTGTGCCTAGTTTTGCGTTGAAGTCTCCCATCAACACCGTGTAGTGGGTTTTGGAGGAATGTATGGCTCTGGAAATATCCTCATACATTTCCTCCACCTCCTCATCGGGATGTGCCGAGGTTGGTGTGTAAACCTGAATGACCTTCAGCGAATACCGTTTGGTGATTCTGAGTATCAGGTACGCGACCCTCGTCGACACACTCCCAATCTTTACAACGTTGTTGACGAGAGACTTGTGGACGATAAATCCGACACCTCCTTGGGACAGATGGTCGCCCTCCCGGTGATAGAACAAGTTGCCGGACTCGAGGATTGCCGTGTCCTCCCCCTCTCTTCGGACCTCGGATAATCCAATAATATGCCAGTGCAACTTGTCTACCTCTTCTTCCAGCTCT